TCGTTGAGGAAAGTTGAATTTGGTAAACAAATTCATTCCCACGTGGTGAAATCAGGTTGGATTTCGAGTGTTTTTGTAGGCAGTGCCCTTATAGATTTATATGCAAAATCGTCACACATTGCTGATGCAGCTGTGCTGTTCGATGAAATTCCTCTGAAGAACTCTGTTTGCGCGAATGCTTTGTTATCGGGGTTCTGTGAGGCAAAGTTGTGGGCTGAGGGACTTGTACTTGTTAGGAAGATGCCTGGATTGAATTTGGATTATGATCATTTCACATTATCGGCTATGTTTCGTGCATGTACAGGTCTTTCGGCCATTGATTTGGGGAGGCAGGTGCACGGACATTTGATCCGTAAAGTTTATAACTTGGTGGACGATGTGTTTTTGCAAAGTTCATTGGTTGAGATGTATGGAAAATGTGGTTTAGTGATGAAAGCTTTCCAAATTTTCAATTTGGAAGGGATGAGATTGGGAGGGGAGAAAAGAAGGGATGTTGTTCTCTGGACATCAATGCTCGGCGTGTATGGAAGAAATGGACATTTCAAAGAAGTGATTTCGCTATTCAAAGAGATGTTGAAGGAGGGATTCAGCCAGATGAGGTTGCATTTGTGACGGTCATCTCAGCTTGTCGTCACACCGGTCAAGTACGACTAGGTTTCGAGTATTTCGACCGCATGAGCCGCGTTCATAAGTTGATTCCCAGTCCGGAGCACTACAGTTGTGTGGTTGATTTACTATGCAGAGCTGGTGAGGTAGAGAAGGCGATGAAGGTGGTGAATGAGATGCACCACAACAATTGTGGTATTTCCTTGTGGGTGGCTTTGCTTAGTGCTTGCGGTGATCATGGGAATGTTGTGTTGGGTCAATTTGCTGCTAGAAAGGCACTTGAGTTGGACCCCAAGAATGTTGGAGTGTATGTTCAGCTATCAAATTTATACGCTAGATTAGAAATGTGGGATGAGATTGGGCAGTTAAGAGAGACGATGAAACAGAGAGGATTAAAGAAAGATACTGGGTTTAGTTGGATCCAAGTCAGTAATAGAATGGAGCAGGCAACTGAGAAGGAAACACATAGTTTTTGTGGTTCGTTTAATTCCTAGTCCAAATGTGTATTGTTGTAGCCAATTTTGTTTAATTAATTGGTATAATGCCAAAAATAGCCCCTCAACGTTTATCAAAATTGTATTTTTGGCTCATGTTCTTTCTTTTTTTTAGCATTTTAACCCCCAACGTTTCACTTTGGGATAAAAAACTTCCTCTATAGATGAAAACTATTAGATATCACACGATTAACGTTTCAAAATAGCAGTTTTTTTAACCTAAAATGAAACGTTGCGGGCTAAAATGTCCCAAAAAAAAGAATAAGGGACAAAGTGATTATTCTGTCAAATGTTAGGGGTCTTTTTGTTCTAAAATGAAGTGTTGAGAGCCAAAATGTTTCAAAAAATAGTATAGGGGCAAAATGACCATTTTAGTAAACATTGTGGGTTAATTTTGACATTATGCCTCTATTTTATTTAAGGATAAACTATAAAAATTATCACTGAACATTGTGCGTCTTACTGCCCTCAGCATCTTCTCCTCTTCAAGTTCTCTTGGACTAAGAGATATTTGGGAGGTTATCCGTATCAAAAGGGAGAAAGTTCCTTGGCATAATCTTATTTGGTTTCCAATGCATATTCCTAAATTCAGTTTGATTGCTTGGATGTCTTTGTTAAACATATTACCAACTAGAGATCGGCTGCTCAAAATGAGAATTTCAACAGATGGGACCTGTGTTAACTGCAGAGAAGAATAAGAATCAAGAAACCATATTTTCTGCCAATGCACTCTTGCTGTTCGACTTTGGAGCTCACCCCTATCGCTTAATGGTATGAAGAATACTTCCTCAACTTGGGAAGAAATGGTTAATCGGACTTCTTCAATTTGGAAAGGGAAATCCTTACTCACCACAATTCTAAAGCTTTCTTAGACAACCTATATTTACACATTGTGGGAGGAAAGGAATCACAGAATCTTCAAATACCGTCATAGATCTACAAATGAATTGCTCAACGTTATTATTGAAGCTGTGCGAATCCAACTTAAGGGTAAAAATATTAATAGAGCTGATAGAATTAATTCTAACCTTTGTAATGCATAGGGTATTACTTAATCAATCTCTGCTATTGTAACAGCTGTGTATAATTCTTTTGTATTAATTGATTGATTGTTTTGTAGCGGAACACTGTTCTTTAGATAATAAAATTTGATTTATCAAAAAAAAAATTTGTTGTTTCTCTATTAAAATTTTAAAAGTAATGAAACGGTCATTAATATTACGAAAAATAACAAAATGGTCATTCAATCGTTAAGTGTTGTTAGGTTGTTAGATTAGATGACTAACGACAGTTTAACATGTGTGGTATTTTTTTAATGAATTAATTTTCACCAATAAGATGATGACACATGATATTATCTTCTTGTTGTGAAAAAGTACGAAAATATGAAAACTATTATAATTTTTTATGGAGCTCACTGCTTGTATAGGATGATTTCATTATTTTAAGTTTTTCATACTAATAAAATGATATCACGTGTTATTACTTTATTGGTGAAATTAATTCATTAAAAATATCACATCATTCGTCATGTTAGACTATCGTTAATCATTTGACGGAACTTAACAATTGAGGGTTGTATTTTTGTTTTTGTATCATTAATGATCGTTTCGTTACTTTTAAAACTTTAGTAAGGGAACAAGAAACTTATTAATGCTTCAATGATCTTTTATCTATTTTATCTATTTTTTTTTTAATTTTTATTTGTTTCTTATGTGATTTATTTCTAAAAAAATAAATTTTAAAAATAAAAATATTTAACCGAGTATCTAATATCCGATTTTATTAGTACCCAAATTTTGCAGGTACTCGATTAGCGAATAGCCAATAGTCACGGTCAAGACACGGCTAAAAATTATAGAGAAAATAACCTCAGTGACAAAAAATGCTTTATAATATATGATTTTAACCAACGTTTTTGGGATTTGCCAAAATGACCAACAAAATCGCAATGCGATCGCTAATTCGCAACGCGATCTCAGGTATCGCAAATCAGTTTCCAGATTCGCAACACGAACTTCTACTATCGCATTGCGATTTACATATTCGCATTGCGATAGTCCAAGTTCGCGTTGCGATTTTCCAAATTCATTGCGATAGTCCAAATTCACGTTGCGATTTATTCCAAATTCGTTGCGATAGTCCAAGTTCGCGTTGCGATTTATTACAAGTTCGTTGCGATAGTCTCCAAGTTCGTTGCGATAGGCCAAAATCGCAGCGACTGGTGGTATTGTATTTGTTTCTTAAGAATTTTCTCTAAAAGATAGTATTCACGCGGACGTGTCGAAGACACGTATTACCACGACCACGACCACGACCACGACCCGACCCGACCCGAGACGGATGACGGCGGCGGCGGCGCACTAGAGTCCTCCTTGTTCTCTATCACTCAACAAGGAAGTGGAAAAGCCAAGCCTTAAATACCATTCCCAATAGTGTTTCCAATACTATGTGGGATTGAGCATTACCAACACTTGTTCCCAACACTTGAATTTATCTTATGCGTTAATTATGGTGTTTCATGAGTATAATAGTTGTTATAATTTATTGGTGCTTTGGTGATAAATAAATGTACAAATTGTTATTATGGTGTTTCATGAGTGCAACAGTAAAACAATAAGGTAAAATTCTATTATTGATTAAATTTAGTTTCATTGATTATGGTTTCGTAAAGTATACAATATATATTTGTATTGATTATTGATTGCACGGTTAAGAAATTTTATTACAGTTATGTACTGTTTATTTTATTAAATTTTAATTCAGTATTTGGTTAATCATGTAGTTGGTTTTAGTTTTTTGTATCGTGTTCTAGTTTATTTTGATGAATTTATAATTAAGAAATTCTTGAAAGATAGTCAAATATTAAGGTTTTTTTTTTTAATAGTGTCATTTAGACATTATTATTTTGACTTATTTTAGAAATCGTGATGTGATTATAAAATTTATGTAATATTTGATTCTTATTAGAATATTAACTTCTTTAGTATATGCTTACTACTATTTCAGTTACCAAATATAGATATATATGATGCTAATGTTATGAATTATGAGATATATATTTGATTAAAGATTTAATTCATTAGTATTGAGAATAAGTGTTGGTAATGCTCAATCTCACATAGTATTGGAAACACTATTGGGAATGATATTTAAGGCTTGGCTTTCCCACTTCCTTGTTGAGTGATAGAGAACAAGGGGGACTCTCGCGCGCCGCCGCCGTCCGTCTCGGGTTGGGTCGTGGTCGTTGTCGTGATAATACGTGTCTTCGACACGTCCGCACGAATACTATCTTTTTAAAGAAAATTCTTAAGAAACAAATACAATACCACCAGTCATTGCGATTTTGGCCTATCGCAATGAACTTGGAGACTATCGCAACGCGAACTTGGACTATCGCAATGAATTTGGAATAAATCGCAACACGAATTTAGACTATCGCAACGAATTTGGAAAATCACAACGCGAACTTGGACTATCGCAATGCGAATATGTAAATCGTAATGTGATAGTAGAAGTTCTCGTTGCGAATCTGGAAACTGATTTGTGATACCTGAGATCGCGTTGCGAATTAGCGATCGCATTGCGATTTTGTTGGTCATTTTGACAAATCCCAAAAAAATTGGTTAAAATCGTATATTATAAAACATTTTTTGTCACTTAGGTTATTTTCTCAAAAATATATTATCCGAATAACCGGATATATGACATCTCAGCTGGTTATGAACACCCCTACTAAAAAGGGTCTTTTGGTCATTCTACATTGTTTGTCCCTTTACACGCCGCTCTGCTATTGGTTATAGCATGAGTGTTGTTGTAACCTCTCCTAGGCGATCAATTCCTCCAGTCCCGTGCCGTGTGCAAACCAGGCACTGTAATGAAGGGAAAAGAAAAGCCCTAATTTTCTTCCACTCCACAAGGTTGAGCCTGATTTTCTATCATGATATGATAGATACCTCGTCATCGAGGAAAGCGAGATCCAGATCAGCCGGATATTTCCTTGCCCACGCCCAAATAACAGCGCTCCAAAATGGGCAAATCCGAAGACAGTGAAAAGAAGGTAACCTCGAAATCTCAATCGAAATTTGGACTGTACCCATTCCTCGAATCACCAAAATAACATCTGCAAACAAGACAAAAAACTATTCTTTTTTCATTTCAAACAAGTTTCTTTAGAACCCATTTTTTCAAATTGCCGTGTTCAGCTATTTGACTGGTGTTCACCTGTTCCTTGGAGCTGCAATTTTTCATCATTTCAAATTTGGAAATTTACCCATTTTTTCAGTAATCAAAATGATGTTGCCTGTAAAAGGAATTTAGTTTTCAACCTGGCTGCACTATAACACTATGTCTTTATAGTTATGTTTTTATAAGGGAAACAGCAGTCTTTTGTCAGGAATGTTTTTCTTTTGTATGATTATTGTGCAGAAGAAGATGAAAGATGTTGAAATAAGTGTTCCTATCGTATATGGTAATGCTGCATTTTGGCTTGGTAAAAAGGCAAGCGAGTGAGTATTTGCTAAGCATTTTAAACTGCTGAAATTTCGATTTGCATCTTTGGTTTGTTATTTGCAGGTTTCAATATACGTTTGGTTTGTGTTTTAAATGCATTCAGGTATCAATCTCATAAATGGACTGTATATGTTCGTGGGGCAACAAATGAGGATCTTAGTGTGGTGGTAAAGCGGGCTGTTTTTCAGTTGCATTCCAGTTTCAATAACCCCACAAGAATTGTGGAGTCGGCTCCATTTGAGTTAACGGAATCAGGGTGGGGTGAATTTGAGATTGCCATTACACTCTTCTTCCATAACTATGTTTGTGAGAAGCCCTTGAACCTGTGAGTTGCTTTTCCTGTTAATCTGCTTTTAGTTTAATTTTTTTTCCGGAACTAGAAGAAGTTTAGTCTTACTGAGGTCATTGTTCAATCAGTACACTGTTAAAGATGCTGAGAACTTACAATTATGTCCCACTAGAAGAAATGACTTCTACTTGTTTTAATTTTGATGTACTTCCCAATGTCCATATTCTCGTCACATTTCTTTCATGTTGGCAAGAAAGACTGCACTCTATCATTAATGTGTCCTAGTTGGTATTCAACTGTAGGAAAATAAACGAATTCCGTTGTGTTAGATCTAACCATGAGATTCATGAATTCATGAAATACTTTATTTGTTGTTTTCTTTGTTTCAGTATTCAGTCTGTTAAAGAACCTGCTGGCTTCAAAGTGAAACACTTAAATAGTCAGCAGATGTAATGTCCTGATTCTGACCAATTAAATGTAGGATTTTCTGACCTTCCCCCCAATCCCCTCTTCTGAAGATTTTTTGTGATTGCTGGAATTTATCACAATGATTGTGATTCACTGATTCCGTTTTTAACTGACAACTCTCATGATCAAAGTAACTTATATTCTACTCCATCGGTGTGAAACCAAAAATTACAAATCCGCAAGGCAAAATGTTGATTGTAAAATTGCATTCTCCAGATATCATCATTTGAAGTTATACCCAGAAGATGAATCTGGCCCCATGTCAACTAAGAAACCAGTTGTCGTGGAATCCTATGATGAGGTCGTATTCACAGAACCATCTGAGAGTTTTCTAGCTCGTGTTCAGAATCATCCAGCTGTAACTTTCCCCAGATTACCGGCTGGTTTTACTTTACCACCCCCAGGTTTATTTCTATACCTTTTGCTTGAAATACTTTGTGTCATGCATATGTTTCATTAGCGTGCCTCTAAATTGCTTGCAGTACCACAAGATGAAAGTAAAAGGAAAAGAGGTGACACTAAGGACCATCCCCTAAGCCAGTGGTTCTTGAATTTCTCAGAAGCTGATGAGCTATTACAACTTGCAGCTGCTCGTCAGCAGGTAAGCAAGCATAATATTTACTTCCTAGGATGAGTTTCGTATTTGTGAAATTTGAATTGTATCCATAATCGCATTTGGTTTGTCCTCAAACTTGTTCGCCAACATCTTTTCAAAATTATTTCGTCCATGATCTTGTATAGATGTTGAGAAATTCAAATGTTTTTGACATTTTAACTGGAATGTGTAGGTACAAACTCATATTGCTAAGCTCAGGCGACAGATTAGCTTGACAGATGGGCAGAATCAACCGTTCAAATCACTCTGACAGTGAATTACAGTAGTCCTGGAAATTTTGAGATTTTCACTCCCAGTTCAAATAGATTTTGTGGCAAAGGCATCTGATGGCATTGTAATGTATCTGAGATATGCGTCTTCTAAGACTTTGCAGAGTTGTCTCATTTTTTTTCCTTGGCTTTTGAGCTCTGTACTAATAAATGAATGGCAAAAAGAACAGTGTGTGCTATTTATTTCTTTAATAGAAGGTAAATTTACTAAGGATAATTTACATAAATGGTCACCAAACTTTTATGGCACTTGCATTTTGGTCACCCAACTTTTAAAACTTGCAATATAGTCATCGAACTTTTAGTTCGTTTTCAGTAAGATTCTTGATGTTACCTCCTGTTAGTTTTATCAGACATGGCACATTACTGTTATTTTTTATTTCAATAAAATAATCTTTTTAACTCATTTCAACGTCCTAAAAATTTTTCCTCATCTAAAATTGATTGAAAATCTTAAAAATCAAATTTCCCTTTATCTTATTCTTTTTGTTTGATAATTCATGTTCATAAATACTTCAAATTACATGTTGATCCTCAAATTTCAAATTCATGTTCAAAATTCTGCTTACCAAAATGAACTTGAAGCAGTAAACATTAGTAAAAAAAAATAGAATCCTTAAATCCTAAATTACTCATTTCTTAACCCAACATAATCAATTACAACAAAACCCTCAAAAAAACCACCCAAATCACTCACTCAAACCTTCTTCCCCTCTCCATGGCTCTCATCTTCCTTGGTGAAGCCAACTTAGCAATACGTGAGCATGGATTCAATGAGGGATCATACCAAATAAAAAATTACAATTTCTTATAAATACACGCCCATGGTTAACGCACCCAAAGAACCTCATTCCAACATTATTATTCGTCCAAGTTGTGCGTAAGGTACCTGACATTCCACAAAAACATGTTGGGATTACAGTTGATGTCTCAATTGGTAGCTTCGATCGTTGATCAAACAAAGAAAATAAGAGAATGAGAAATATAACTTTTTAGGGTGTTGAAATGGGTTAAAAGGGTTATTTTATTAAGCTGGAAAATAACAGTAACGTGCCACATCAGGTGAAACTAATGGGAAGGGACCTTATTGGAAACGAAAAAAAAGTTTTGTGATTGTATTGCAAGTTTTAAAAGTTGGATGACCAAAATGCAAGCATCCTAAAAGTTTGGTGACCATTTATGTAGTTTACCCATTTACTAATTGAAAAAGACCAGTTTCTGCGAAGTGCTGTTTAGAACCCATCAGATGTACAAGCATATACCGCCTGAAAGCAAAAATACAAGAAAATCGGAGCTAGGGTTGAAAATTAAGATTTGTTCATCCAATTAGACCTAAAACATACCAAAGTTTCCATTCAAACTAACATTATAGTTCGTTTATGTATTTACCAAATATAACCATTAGGCCTTTTAACTTGACTATTAATTCATCATTTAAAGCATGCACTATTGCATTTATTACGCACATAACTTACCTATGAACATGCAAAGTTATAACGTATATGTATTTACCATGAAGCCAAAAGATTAATTTACATACTAAACATGATCACGCTTCAATAGATAATCAAAATAATCCCAATTTACGTTTGAAAACAAAAGAATTTACACCTATTATATCAAACTAAATCAAAACAGTTATATGTTAATTTTTAAATAATATATTAAACTTTTATTTTTTTAAAGTTACTGCATAATAATAGTAGCTAAAAGCAGCATCAAAAGTCACAATATCCGCAATACAAATTGGGCAATCATAAGAAAAATAGAAAGAAAATCTGGAAGAAGATGCCCGGTGGCGACATTAGCAGTGCGGCGGACATGTCGAACAGAGATATAGTCATGAACATCCGGAAGACGACGAGCTTCAACAAGATAAAAGCTTTCCACCGAAATATCGATGAAGCATGACGTTAATTGGCGAACCAAGTTCGCAGAACCGCTTTCGACTACCACCTGGGAGGACGCAGACAATTCCGATGCAATTAAAATACTAGAAGTGATGGCGTAGGCTTCCACAATCCTAGCATCTACAGAAACGGGCCGGTAGTAATAGTAGCCAGAGTGGTGAACGCTCCATCTACATTAACTTTAATAGAGTTGGCAGATGGTTTGCGCCAACGTGCGGACCACTCCAAGGAATGATGATCTAAAGCAGCCGGAATTGTGGTCGAGTAGGCATTCTGTAGAGAAATGTTGTTGGATATTATTTTTTAAAGTCTAATTATAAATAATTTTAATAATTATATATTGTTGTTTCTAAAAAATGCAGTATAATGTTTAATTTATTAACAATATATCAAACTAAATCAAAACATTTATATGTATTAAGGTTTAAGCTCTTTGAGTTTAAATTATTTCAAACTCGAGTTGAGTTTTAATTTTTTATTTTAAATTCGTGTCAAATTTTATAATTTTAAATTCATGAACTTTCGAATCGAGTTAGACTCAACAATACTCAATATCGACCCACTTATTTACAACCCTACTTATTAGGTTAAGGTAGCTACCACCTCAACTAAATACAATTTCAAAAAATTATGTAAGTGCAATAAAAATATTAAAATGAATTGAGATTAAAAAATAATTTCAAGATATTTATCCATTTATATTATAAAAAACATAAGTTCAATTAAATTAACCAAAATACCCATCATATTTATACAACAAGGAAAGGATATGTTTCATTTCATTCTTTTCCTTCCCCAATCTATTGTGCTTACGAGAACCAGAAGAAAGAGTAACCAAAAGTAGCCATGCCCCACGTACTCCTCCACCTCCCAATCACAACCATCCATCTCAGACCATGTTCTTTCTCTATCCCAAAACCACCGGCTCATATTCACCTCCGCACCAACCCCACAACCATAAAGTGCATGGCCAATCCCAGGAAAGTTAAGATGGTAGCGAAACAGATAAGGAGAGAGCTTTCCTACATGCTCTTAACCGGCAAAGTGTTGCAATACGCTGTCCTGCCTGAAACCGCCTTGGGAGCCGACCTCTACCTCTCTTCTCTTACTACCATAAGTGATGTTGAAGTTTCGGCTGATTTACAGGTATCCATTTGCCTATACATGTAAAAAAGGAAAAAAAATATCTATGTTACTGACATTTAGAGAGAAATCTATGGTCTATATAAGCTTTTGATTTTTCAAACCGTGGGTAAAAATGGGTTTTCTTCTCTTGAATGGCATTTCATTGTAAGTTTCTAAATTTGTTTACGTCCGGTACGGAATCAGGATTTTACGTTAGAGAGATGAATTTCTAAAACTTTAAGAGAGATTATAAAATTCTAGGATAAAAATAGATTATCAATAGAAAACACAAAAAAATATTTAATATATATAATAATTTACAATTTTCAGCAGCATCCCTGTTTATGGCTGAGTTTATGGTTCTTGGGATTGAAGGCAGAACTAATAACAATTTTGGGTTGTAAGTGATTATTCTTTGCTTTATTTTTGTAGGGTTGATTGTCATTGGCGTGATGGATACATTTAGGAAGTGCTAGAGATTCATTTTGTATAACTAAGAAGTCTCCATACGCAGCTCATTGCTGTTTGAATTTATTTAAACCAATTTTTGAAATCTAATGATTCAAACCATTTTTTTCCATGATAGTAGGTTGTCAAAGTATATGTATCTGTTTTCGGTGACGAGAGAGGTAAAGAGATTGCGCTTTCCGGGTTGAAATCAAAAGCGAAATACGATAGAAGCGAGCTTGGAAAGAGTATGAAGTTGCGGCTTACACCTGAGATTTGCTTCATTGAAGATGAATCACTAGAGAGAGGAAGAAGGGTAAGTGTTTGTAATCTATTGCTTTACATCATTATAATTTTGATCATTGCATCGGCACAGTTGAGTCCTCATACTGATTTGATCATTCATATAGGTAATTGCGATATTAGATAGAATAAAGGATGAGAATAAGACTGCAGCAGATGAATTTGAAGAAGAATTTCAGTCATCTGATCAAGATGACAAAGATTGGGATGGTGATTGTAACATCCTAAAAATCGGATTAGTGACTAAAATGTAAGTTTGAAACTTTGAGGTCTGATTTTGAAAAATTTAAAAGTTCAGGGATTTAATTGAAAATTATATGAGTGAGATTGATTAGTAAAGATGAAAAGATAGAAGGGTATAATGGTCATTTGACAAGAAAATAATTAAAAACTTATACTGATGTTATGTATTTACACGTGTAGATGGGAAGAAGGAAAAATCAGATAATTCTAGAAGTTAGCTTCTTCTTCTTCTTCCACCGTGAGTGTTTGGTAAAAGGTAAGTTGGTTTCAAGTTGGTTATTTCCTTCATTTTAAAGTTAGTTTTGATACTTGAAGTATTAAGAAAGCATAAGGAAAGATTAAGGTTGCTTAAAACTCAAAGATGGATGAGTTATGAGAGATTAAGTAAAATGAGTTTTTGAATGAATTATTAGAAAAGGAGTAAATGAATTTAGAAGTCATATTTGACTTGTCAAGGGTCTAATTAAGAAGATACAAGTAATAGAACTGAATTAAGAAAATATTGAAAATTTAGTAAGATTCTTGGTTTCAAGAATTATAATGAGATATTGAAGATGATGGTGTGTTATATGTATATAACATGGTATGAGTAAGTATAGTTGAGGTTAATGGTATGAAAAGAGTTCAAAATGAGAGGTTTAAGTAAGTTTTGGTAAATTTTCAGGTTAAAGAAGGGTGTTCTGGGCATGGGATATCGGTACTGTTCATCCAGTACCGTTCAAAGCAAAATGAATAGAAATTGAGCTTGGGGTATCGATATTGAAGGAACAATATCGATACCATATGATAAAATGAGATGAAATCTTTAGGAAATATCGATACCTAAAGAGTGGTATCGGTACTGGTTGAAGAGGGTATCGATACCAAGTGTCTAGTATTGATACCATTATCAAGTTACAAATACAGAATGTCAAAATGGTATCGGTACCAAGGAGGGGTATCGATACCATAGAAGAGTAGTATCGGTACTGTATTGGGAGTACCGATACTATTGAGTATGAAATGTTAAGTTAAATGTTTCTTTCAGCTTAAGTTATATTGATTGGTTATAAGCAATTCGAACTCCGATATTCATATAGGTTGTATATTCGTGTAGATATCGATCGAAGTCAAGGCAAGAAGATTCGAAGCTATAAGAATGTACAAGAGTCATAAGTATTCGAATTGGCTAGTGAGGCCCAGGTGAGTACGTACTAGTATGAAATATGATTTGATAGAAATTAGACTTGCGACAAGTCGGTTTCCGATATTTTAATATATGACTACATGAGTAGAATAATGATTATGATTTATACTGTGTGAATATGCCTTGTATGTATTACATGTTACGTGATATGAACCCACTTTATATGTGTTATATAACAATAACCTAAGTGATTGTATGAGATTACATGCCTATGTGATATGAATATGTGAGTATGTGACATGAGCTATGCGAAAATAAGCTATGTGATTACATATGCATGTGAATATGTTTAGGTGAAATAAGTGATATAAACTATCATAAATGATAATGCCCATGTTATGTGATAAGAGAGCTAGGGGTATAGTAGGCATGCCAAGAGTCGAGGGTTCAATGTGGTCATTCGGGATATATATGTAATCCTTTGGAACATATATAAGGTTCTTCGGGACACATATTTGGTCATTTGGAATATATATGTGATCCTTAAGGAGTGGTCCTTTGGGATATATATGTGGTCTTTCGGGATAAAATTCTATGTGCGCCTAGTGGGAAATTTATACGAGCTGTGGTGACAGCATATGTGCACATCCTCTATGTTCTCACATATCTTTAGTCCTCAGAAGTGTACATGGGCTTTTAAAAGACATAATATAAATAAAATGTATGTTTCTTGATGCAATGTATTATATGCTTTGTATAAATTATAAGTATAAGATTATATGATAAATGAGATTATTGGGAATGATAAGATTATTAATGATGATAATGATAATATATATGTAATCACCAATTTTCAGCCCAACTTGAGGCCCAGAAAATCAGTAGACCAGACCCGAATTCGACTCAGGACTCGACCCGGTCCAAACCCGGTTCTTGATAACACCATACCCCGTTCCTTACCTCCTTGCTACCAACAGTGCCTACCATGCCCTGCTCCAGTCAAGGATGTGCCATTTCCCTGACAGCCACCATGTCAGTGACCTTACTCTGGCATCGCCGAACGCAATGATATCAGCCAAAAATTTTCTTTTCTATGGGATTTGATGTACAGTGTGTATAACCCGAAAAACAAAAGCATAATGTACAGAGAAAAAATTATAAGAAATCAAAAAGAAATTCTACAAGTTCTTTATCAATCAAACTTTGTTAAGGTACTAATGTGTGTTTTTTCTTTTTTTCTTTCTTTCTTCTTTCGTTCAATTCTAGTTCTATGCTTAAAGAAAATAAATAGAGATAGGGGTTAAAAACTACCTTGCGACGTGGTGGCTGGAACACGAGTTGTTGGGCTCATTTTTAGAGGGTTTTCTTTCGTTTGGCTTAGTTCTAGGAGTAGATGAAATAATGAGAGAGTTTAGGGTTGGTGTAGTGTCATTTAGAATGCTCGACCACCATAGATGGTGGTCGGAGCGTGGTTAAGGCGTTGATTTATGACGTTGTTTGGTTCTCGTGTTTTTTTTCGGAGGTAAAGAAGGAGGGGAATAAGGAGTCTCGCTTTCGTTTCGGGCGGCGATTAGAGCGAAATGGCCACTAAATCAGTGGTCGATGATGTTGTTTGATGGGGGCTTGAGAGTGGTTGACCGCTATGTGCGTGAAGAGGAAGAGAGGAAAAAAGGTTAGGGATTAGGGGAGTATCGGGCAGATTGAAGAGAAAAGTGGGAGAAGTATTTTCATTTTTGGATTTTGGGCAAACCACGCTAAGGTCCTTGAACCTTTAGCGTGTTTTGCATTTAGGTCACTAAATAGTAGGTTTATTACGTATAAGACCTATAACCTTTGGAATTCCATGTCATTTCGGTCACTAGTTTATGGGTAAATTCCTTCTTGGGTCATTTTCTTTAGCAGATGTAGCTTTTGGGTCGAATGTTAGTGGGTAAATCACCTTTAGCTCCCTATATCTTTCCCTTGTTTTAGTGTTTTGGTCACCCAGTACCTCATTTTACTATTTTTCTGAATTTGACATTATGGTTCATTTTGTTACAGTTTAGTCATTATTTGCTTTGTTATTTCACTAAACTTGGTCACTGTTTTTATGTCCTTTTATTTTAGTCCTATATATTTATGTTTTATTACAATTTTGGGGCTCATATTATTTGATTTTCCTGTTTCATGCCTTGATGTTTCTTTTGTTTATATTTATGATCTCAATTTTACTATACATTTATTTTTTGTCACTATATTTACGAATGAATCCACATGTATATTGTTATATTGCACCATTAAGTATGTTTTAAGTATTATATATTTATTTCACGTGCATTATTATATATATTACTTTATTATATATATTTATATAATACGACATGTATTGTATTGTGTATATGAATGTTATATTTTACATCTCAGTACATTTATAATAAATATTATGTTCTATGTTAAATATCATGTTTACAAAATATATGTATAAATTTTATTAAGTAAAATAAATTTAAAATACCTTAAAATTGTTTTTAGTCCATAAGTATATTTATAATTTTCCTTTAAATGCTTTAATTTACCATTTTAATTTAATTATATTTTATTTAGACATTAGTATTTAATCATGACATTTTATCTCGCCTGAAAACCTCATAAGCATAACTCAACCGATTACATAATTGGATTAAGGGTAATATTTATTTTAAAATATTAAGAAGAGATGGTCTTAAAGTAACTAGATGTCATTTTCTGATGTTTTAAAATAAATAAATACCCCATTAGAAAAACCTACAAAATTTGATTGCATTTAAAATTAATTAATTTTGAAGGGAAAATGAAATATTCACTAATTTAAACTTATCGAGACATTTCGCCTAATTTTATTAGGGATTAAGTCTCGATATTTTTAAAAAATTAAATATCCCTTATCTTTTCTAATCATATAATTTGGATAAATTGGCTTAATTTCTTTCTTTGGTAGAATAAAAATTATTTTTGGAATTCTTTGGAAAAATTATTATATTCCTTTTATTTCAGTCGGAAAGAGAATTATTCGTCCTAAAGTATTTTAGGGATTATTTTCTCTTCGATTGGAAATATGAGAATCTTTTTTATTTTTCCTTAGACCTTTTCGTTCAATAAAAATTGCATGGTTGAATTTGGAATAATGGGATCGTAATTTAAATGTGTACTTGAGTTCTTAGATTTCCACTATTAGAGACAATTTATAATCGATAGGTGCCAATTTTGGGCGTTGTGGGGGTGTTTATCCTTCCCCACATGTAATCGACTTCTGAATCCTTTTTACTAAAAATGAATTTATGGTTACGCTTATATCGGTGCATCTTTTAAAATGATGTTTTCTTAAAAACTCTTTTAAAAGAAAATTTTTGGGTATTCGACCTACCTAACCCAAAAAGTCGATGGCGACTCAAACAAAATTTCAAAACCTTTTAAAAAAAACCCCAAGTCGTATTAAGTTTTTCCTTGCCCGAGCGAAAAACAGTGTCGACAATATGTGCATGTATGTATTTTGTTATATGTAATATTATATGAGTGGTATGACATGATGATATAAAAATGTTTTGTATTGTTAAGTACTTAAGTTTCCAGTATACGTTTTATTATGCCTCACTAAGTCAAAGACTTAGCGTGTGAGTGTTTCACACATAGGTTCTGAGAATATGAAAAGGGATCGAAGACAAACAAGACATGTCAACTTCTCTTTTCCAAGAATCAGATCAGAAAAGAATATAATCATATGTATTTTATAATATTGATTTTAGTTGGAATGTAAATAAAGATTTAGTATAATACACTCTACTCTCTGATCAGTTTTGTAAAACTATATGATTGTATTAAATATAAGTTATTCAGTTTTCAATGTAAACCTGAATTGTCAGCTATTTTGTAAAGGAAAACGGTTTGAAAAGTTAATGTCACACTTCGGACTCGTATCCTGGTCGGGTACGGGTTAAGGGTGTTACATTTTATGGTATCGGAGCTAAGGTTTAGCCGATTCTAGGCTTAAACCGAAGTCAAATGAGATTTAAAATGTGTACATGCCAACACAAAGTGAAAATTTTATGATATGATAGTGTAAGGAGTGTTGTCTTGTTAATAGAATAGGATTGTTATATATTATTAGAAATATGATTATGAGAGTTACAAGTAAAGAGAGAGGTGTTAGACCTGATGGTGGTAGTAATTCACTTGCCCTGGCCAGGCAGGATGAAGAGCATACACCTCATGGAATATCTTTACAAAATCAAGGGATTATTTTTCGAATGTTAAAAGTGTGTTATAATAATGTTAAATGACCTCTACTATTATGAAGTGGAGTAGTTTCTTTGCTACTCGGTTAAGCTAGAATATAGTGGATAAATGTCATCACGAGAATGTTAAAAGATCAGGCGATGAGGGTATTACTTTAGAAGAGTACATGAATGAGTACATTGATGATCAGTTTATAAGACAAATGAAGTGAGAATTTTTTTAATTTGAACCAAGGGGACTACATCGTGTATGAGTAAGAGTACGGGTTTGATAAGTTGAGTAAATAGTTGATGAGTTATTCCGACTGAAAAAAATGTATATGATTGGTTTGATGAGGACTTGCACCCTATATTGAAATAGTTGGTGTTGATTAACAAGGTTATGTGATAGTAAGTGTAATAAAGTTAAAAGATTTGAAGAAAATATCAGATTGAGCTAATCAAGTATAGTGTGGATTTGTGTATAGTTGTGCATTTAGAGCATGTAGATGTGATGTAGATAAGAAGATAAGAATTCATATATTTGAAGGAAGCTAAAGATGTGGTAGAAGGTTTGAAATGATATAAACATAATATGTGTATGGTAATTCGAATATGGCTTTATGCAAGAAGTGTTGATTATCAAAGTTAAGAAGATGTGATAAAGATTGGTAATCAGAGATAAGTATAAGTGAGATGGAAAGAGTATGTGAACAAGAAGGAAAAGATAAGACCTACGTTACAAGAAGATTTTGATTTTGAAGAAATAAATGGATAGGGGAAAGTAAAAGATGGAGTTTAAAGGATCAAATATGATAAGGGATATATGGAGGTGTAGATGATAAGTTTGATATTGAAGTAGGAAAATTTTAAATTCTTAGTGGAATGAGAAAGAGTTGTTATAAAGTATGTATCAGAATTTCTTTGGAGACTAAATTTGGATTTGTATGAGGAAATGGAATAAGTTAGCACCCTCTATGATAAAAAGGTGAATATTACATGGATAAATACGTAAAATAATATGAAAAGATTATGTGTATCGTAATTTATATAAGGATTTTATAAGAGTAAAGGTTTGGTTATGATGCAAGGCATTTAGAGAATGGCGAAAGAAAGTAATCGACTCCTGATCTTAAGTGGTAAAGATTTGAGGTTCATATCTATATGATGAGTGATATTATATGGATTATTAAGGTCGAATGTAGGTGAAGAGTTGAAGAAGTAGAAAGGTAAGTCTATTAGCAGTAATCACGAAAGACTAAAGTAGAGGAAACAACATGAGAACACTAGAATATATGTGTAGACATTATTCTCATCTATGTGTGCAGTCAAAATTCGAGGACAAGTTCTCTTAAAGGGGGAGATTTTTAACATCCCAAAAAATGGATTAGTGACTAAAATGTAAGTTTTGAAATTTTGAGGTATGATTTCGAAAAATTTAAAAGTTTAGGGATTTAATTAAAAAATATATAAGTGGGATTGATTAGTAAAGATGGAAAGATAGAAGGGTGTAATGGTCATTTGTAAATAAAATAACTAAAAACTTATAGTGGTGTTATATATTTACACGTGTAGATGGGAAGAAGGAAAAATCAGAGAATTCTGGAAGTTAGCTTCTTCTGCTTCTTCTTCTTCTTCCACCTTGAGTGCTTGGTAAAAGGTAAGTTGGTCTCAAGTTGGTTATTTCCTTCATTTTAAAGTTGGTTTTGATACTTTGAGTATTAAGAAAGCTTAAGGAAATATTAAGGTTGCTTAAAACTCAAAGAGGGATGAGTTATGAGAGATTAAGTAAAATGAGTTTTTGAGTGAATTGTTGGAAAAGAAGGAGTAAACGAATTTAGAAGTCATATTTGATTTGTCAATGGTCTAATTAAGAAGTTATAAGTAATAGAAGTGAATTCAGAACATCTTGAAATTTAGTAAGATTCTTGGTTTCAAGAATTATAATGAGATATTGAAGATGATGGTGTGTTATATGGATATAACATGGTATGAGTAAGTATAGTTATGGTTAATGGTATGAAAAGAGTGCAAAATAAGAGGTTTAAGTAAGCTTTGGTAAATTCTCGGGTTAAAGAAGGATGTTCTGGGCATGTGGTATCAGTATTGTTCATCCAGTACCAATACTTCAAAGAAAAATGAGTAGACATTGAGCTTGGGGTATCGATACTAAAGGAACATTATCGATACCATATAATAAAATTGGATGAAATCTTTAGGAAGTATCAATACCTAAAGTGTGATATCGGTACTGGTTGAAGAGGGTATCAATACCAAGTGTCTAGTATCGATACCATTATCAAGTTACAAAAACAAAATGTCAAAATGGTATCGGTACCAAGGAGGGGTATTGATACCATAGAAGATTAGTATCGGTACTGTATTGGGAGTATGAATACTATTGAGTATGAAATGTTAAGTGTTTCTTTCAGCTTAAGTTATATTGATTGGTTATAAGCAATTCGAACTCCGATATTCATATAAGTCATATATTTGTGTAGATATCGATCAAAGTCAACCTAAGGGAATTCGAAGCTATAAGAATGTACAAGAGTCATAAGTATTCGAATTGGCTAGTGAGGCCCAGGTGAGTGCATACTAGTATGAAATATGATTTGATGGAAATTAGTCTTGTGACAAGTCGGTTTCCGATATTTTAATATATGATTGCATGAGTAGAATAACGATTATGATTTGTACTGTGTGAATATGCCTTGTATGTATTACATGTTACGTGATATGAACCCACTTGATATGTGTTATATAACAATGACCTAAGTGATTGTATGAGATTACATGCCTATGTGATATGAATATGTGAATATGTGACATGAGCTACGTGATTACATATGTGTGTGAATATGTTTAGGTGAAATAAGTGATATGAACTATCATAAATGATAATGCCCATGTTACGTGATAAGAGAGCTAGGGGTATAGTTGGCATGCCAAGAGTCGAGGGTTATATGTGGTCTTTCGGGATATATATGTAATCCTTTGGAACATATATGTGGTTTTTCGGGACACATATTTGGTCCTTTGGAATATATATGTGATCCTTAAGGAGTGTTCTTTCGGGACATATATGTGGTCCTTCGGGACAAAATTCTATGTGCGCCTAGTGAGAAATTTATACGAGCTGTGGTGACAGCATATGTGCACAACCTCTATGTACTCATATATCTTTAGTTCTCAGAAGTGTACATGGGCTATTAAAAGACATAGTATAAATAAAGTGTGTTTCTTGATAAGTATAAGATTATATGAGAAATAAGATTAATAGGAATGATAAGATTATTGATGATGATAATGATAATATATGTGTATGTATTCATTTTGTTATATGTAATATTATATGAGTGGTATGACATGATGATATAAAATGTTTGTATTGTTAAGTAATTAAGTTTCCAGTATACGTTTTATTATGCCTCGCTAAGTCCATGACGTAGCGTGTGAGTGTTTCACACGTAGGTTCCAAGAAGATGAAAAGGGATCGAAGACAGGCAAGACATGTCAGCTTCTCCTTTCCAAGAATCAGATCAGAAAAGAATTGAATCATATGTATTTTATAATATTGATTTTAGTTGGCATGTAAAAAAAGATTTAGTAGAATACACTCTGATCAGTTTTGTAAAACTATATGATTGTATTCAATATAAGTTATTCAGTTTTTAATGTAAACTTGGATTGTCAGCTATTTTGTAAAGAAAAACGATTTGAAAAGCCAATGTGACACTTCGGACTCGTATCGGGGTCGGGTACGGATTGGGGGTGTTATAGTGATGACCATGATGAGGATATTATTTATGTAAAGTTGTCATAACATCTTTCCAGGTTTGATTCTATGTATAGATTTGGTTTTGCTTGGTGGGGTTTGAGCCTAATTTCTTGTTTGAACCCTGCTCTCTTGATTTTTAGTTAATTAAAGAGAGGATATGTTCGAAAAAATTATTCTGACTAGAAGATTATGAACAATTCACCCTACTTTCGGTCAAAACCGGTGGATACTTGCAAGGATTTTGAAAACCACATCCTTGTGTTGGAACCTCGAAGCTTGAAGTGCTTGTACTTGATAATGGTGTCCCAGTGATAGGGAGATTGATAGTCTTAGCTCTACAACATATCGGGTTTCTGATACAGGTTCCTAGATGTTTTAGAGGAGATGATAAGATGATTACTCATCTTTTCAGAAACATGCACACATAACATGAAATTGTAAAATGTTTTTTCATTCAGCAGCACATGACTAGGTCATGTTTTCCACTTTGCATAACTACTTTGCTGTGGTGTACAAAAGAGAACTTGTTTGAAGCTTCTCTTAATGTGTAAATTTCCCGACGTACAGAGCAAGCAAGTATTCTTATTTGGTGCCACTGCAATTATCCCAAGTCATTCTTAAATGAATCTATCCTGAATTTTTCCATGTTTTTTCACTTATTCTTTCTTGCACAATATATACAGTGTAGAGATCAAATTATTAACACGAAATGCTAGTTTAGACTATGGCTGCAGTTTCTAATGCAGAAGTGAAATGCCCGACATGAGAATCGGTCCCAAATCTGGCATGTAAATTTTTTATACATAGAACCCTTTGAGTGATTTCAGTGTTAAAAAAGAATATTGTTCTCTTTAAAGGATTCGAGTTCAAGCAGCTGCGTCTGCAAGATGTGTATGCATGGATTGGTTTAAATTAATTCTTCTTCTAGTATAATTATAATTACAAATTAATTTTGAATTTTATTAGATATTTATATTTTTTTAATGAATGAGTTCTATTTAGAGGTGTTCATATGTTGGATCAAATTGGATTCAAGTTGAATTTATATATAGATTAATATATTTTATGTTTAGTCAAATCTGTTTAAACCAAAATATGTGCATTAAATTTTGTTGAATCCAAAATATTTGCATTGACAATTTGATGTCACCGTCTATATGAAGATAAGTGTTATATTTGTACTTATCATAAGAATCTTAAGTATATCATAAGGTGTTAATAAGTTTTTCCATTAGTAAAAAATAATATTCTACTACATTTTTATTCTAATCGAATCTCATATTTATCAATGTTGTGAGGAGAAAAAAAAGACTAAACTATATATCAAAGATGAAAGTAGAATACTATTCTTTTCAAATTAAATACAGGCCAAATATTTGTTTAAAAATTTGAGATTTTCGGTGCGTTAAATGAAGGTTTGGAGGATGTTTTTAAGGAGGCTCGAGGAGTGAGATAGGGCAATTCTCCCTCGTCATATCTTTCTGTTCTTGCGATGAATGTGTTTTCGTGGTTGCTTGACAAAGTTGCAACTTGTGAAATCTTTCATTTTCATCCAAAATGTCACAGGTTGGGGCTTACCAATCTTTGTTTCGTTGATGATCCGCTTGTCTTTGCGAGGGAGGATTATAATTCGATGGTAGGAGTGTGGAGTGTCTTGTTGAAGGTTTTACGAGTTCTCGGGTTTGAGATTGAACCCAAAGAAGACTAAGATTTTATCTTCTGGTATGGATGCGGCTGAGTTGGAGTTAGCTCGGGTGATTACAGGCATGAGGAGTGGTAGTCTGCCTGTGCTTTATTTAGGTGATCCCTTACTGGCTAGGAAATTATTTGTTCGTGAATGTGCCCCTTTGGTTGACAACATTGCTCATAGATTTCAGGGGCGGAAGGCGAGGAAAATGTCCTATGTGGAGAGACGCCATCTTATCCAGTCTGTCTTTTTTGGCATCCAGGCGTTCTAAAGTCGACAACTAGTGCTATTTGATGTTGTTATTGATACGATTAATCAGCTTTGTGTTCATTTTTTTTCTTTGAAAGGTGAGGACAATCTAATGAAGGGTGTCTGTGTGAGTTGGTCGTCGATTTGTCGACCTAAATGGGATAGGGTCTGGGGTTAAAAGGCATACGAAGTTGGAACCAAGCGTGCCTCCTTCACTTGATTAGGAGGAACTTGATCAATGATGGTTCGATTTGGATTGCGTGGCTTTATTGCTATGTGCAGGAGGATAGTTCCTTTTGGCATGTTAAGAGCTCCTCGAAAGGTGGTTAGGTGTGGGCTACTTTGCTCCGGCTAGGAGAGAAGGCTGTTCGATAGTAGACTTGTTGGTTGAGCCATCGGTCATGGTTGCACAAATTTGGGATGTCATTCGGCCACGCGGTGAGAGGGTGTTGAGGGACAAACTGGTGTGGCATTCGGGTCAAATCCCAAAAAACTCTGTAATCTCTTGGATGACGGTCTTTGATAGGCTCCCTACGAGATCTTGATTGTTTTCGTTTAGTTTGAATGTCGAGTCTTCTTGTATTTTGAGTTACGCGATTGAGATGCGTGGCCGTTTATTCTTTGAATGTTCATATTCTACAGGTGTTTGAAGCAGTATTTTGCAAGCTTACAGCTTGGTTAGGCCGGTCTTGTGGTGGTGCCAAGAGCTCAGTTGGGCGTGCGATAACACCAGGGGGAAGTCAATGATGGCTTTCATTTACCGTTTAGCGTGGAATGTTGTTATTACTTTGGTTTGGAAGGAACAGAACCGTCGCCTTTTCCAGGGGATCGCTACGATGGAGTTGGAGGTTGTGGGGCGCTTGAAAGAGATGATAAAGCTGAGAGTGACTGGTACGAGGGATGACAGGATAAGTCAGCTTAGCAGTGCTAGCTGTATGGAATGGGGTTTGTAAATTGTTAGTTACAGAATGACATTGGTTTTTGGGTAATAAATTCTGCAATTATAAAAAGGAAAATATGAAAAACATCATAAAAGTGTAAACAAGTCAGTATCAGATCAAGTGTTTATAGATCAGTCCATAACATTACAGATTACCCAATAATTACAGCAATTCAGCCAGCAACATGATTTTTTTAGCTTAATATATATATATATATATAAATAAATCGAATTTGAAACGAAATTAGGGTCATCGGGGAAGGGCAACAATAGAGGACAACAAAATTGGCAGGAGCTGTCCATTTACTCCATAATAGGTCAGCTTCTGGAATAGAAACCAGTGTTGCACAATAAAATTGTTCACTTCACAAAGATGTACATTTCATGTCTCCAAATCTGTAAACTTTCATTTCTTCTTTAACCGAAGCATATTTTCGACAAACTTTGCATGTCGAAAAACACCTATGTTGCATTGCTCCGAAGAAACTGGACAATCTCCTCTGTTCTCGCTTCGATGCCTTTTAAATATTCAGTTAGAATCCGTTGCTGGTAAGAACCTCCCTCCTGAGCAAGAGAGAGAAAGATTAATGGGATGTAAAGGGCAAAAAGAGTGAATATATACAACCAATAGAAAGAAAATGAAAAGGGGTATCTCTTACAGTTCGGATTAAAGTCCGCTCGATCCGTTTCTTGATTACAGCATAAAAATCTTCTGTTGAAATTTCTCCTTTACCAATAGTTAATCCATCAATCAGAAGCTTGTTCCACTCTTGCTCAGGAGCTGCAGATTAATATGAAAAGAATGAATAACAGTTTAACAGTCCATCCAAAAATATGAAAAAGATCATGTTATCAGTTGAACGATGCTATAGAAGATAATGAAACCTTTTATCACAGTTTCAAGAAAATGCTCGGCTTTCACCACTTCATTCCCTGTACCAAAAATATATATAGCTTAATGATTCATAATCAAGAAACTAGAAGTTCATGTATGGTTTCGTGAAAAAAGGGCGGTGCACATAAACTTGATGAAAATATACGTGACTATTACCTTTCTTCGCATAACTACGTTTGGAAAGAACTGTAGAGGCATAGAGTTGCAGAACCTTCTGCAACATAGCCTCGAGGCCTGGCTTATCCGCATCCTCTTTTGCCTGCGAATTACTAAAATATATCTTACTATTTTAAGTAGACATAATGAGGTCAGGTGAACCTCAACGGTATTGTAATGGAAGTTTTATAACCATATGTACCATTGAAACTTCCGAGTAGAACAGTGTGAGTTCAAATATAGACATGTAATTATCTGTGACAAGTTCTTTCACTGGGCCAGAATCGAGAAGAATCTTAAGCTACAAGCAGAAAGGTTTTCTACTACCGATAAAACGAAATGATATAAGCTGCAAACTGTACTCACTTGTCGTAATTGTGCGCTGACTTCTGCTAGGAAGCCTTCATCTAGTTGTCCATCTTGGTCCATTTGAATTATTTTCTGACAATAGTGAGAAAAAGAATGCTTAGATGAACCAATTAAAAGACCGATCCTATAATGAGTGTATGACAACAGATTAACAATTCGCATCTAAGCAGTAAAAACCTTCAAAACCATGAGAAAATTATTTAAGCATCTTAGATACAGAAGTAAATCATCCATAAAAACTTCAAAAACAGATTGATGAAATTTTCTATTATACTTTCTCCATTTGTTTAAGAGCCTCAGGATCTTTGGGGGCCATGGAGTTTCTTCCTCCTCGTCAACTACAGGTTTCAAGATCTCCTTGAGAACATCAGTTGCTGAATCAATCTTTTCCTGCCAAAAAAAGGAAAACGTATAAATTAGCAATAGAGTGACAAAAGGAACAGAGGTTACCAGAAATCATTTTTTCCCATTTATATCAGTGAGAGAGGTACATGGGTCTTATGGACAATGCGATCCACTATACTCATTACAGCAGTAGCCAATTCCTCATAATCTTTCTGCATGAGGGGAAAACAACAGCAACATAAGAATTACAAAATCTGTGGACTATAATGAGGTCAAACCACGCAAGTGCTATTGAAACATTAGAATTAAACAACTCTAAAACCGTGCTTTATCATCATCGGATTTGCAGGTGTCGCTTCTTGCAGCAAGTCGTATCCAGAAGCTCTCATTGAACGCCAGGATAT